GGTAAGTCAGGTTGAACGAAAACATCAGTTGATTGAGGTCGAGTGGAAGCAGGTTTAACTGAACGCATTGCGTTTGTAAGCCTGTTCGTGTAGGAGGTTAGATCCATGTTCATCGAAGAGCACGAAGGATCCACGAATTCTCCTGGAAGTCGAAGTGTCGTTCCATAAACGAGTTGAGCCGCAGTGTATCCAATGTCAGCTTTCACTGCATTGCGGATACCTAGTAAGACGAGTGGAAGAGCGTCGGTCCATTGTGAAACGTTTGCAGCTGATAGCGAAGCTTTCAGTTGTCGGTGAAAACGTTCTACCAACCCGTTTGCTTGGGGATGGTAGGCGGTCGTTCGGAAGCGAGTGATTCCTAAAAGTGTGGTCAGACGACGGAAAAGATCAGATTCAAACTGACGTCCGCGGTCTGTAGTGATGGTTGAAGGGCAACCGAAGTTTGCTACCCATCGTTCGACGAATGTGCGGGCCACTGTTTCAGCAGTGCTGTCCTTGATAGGTACTGCTTCTGGCCATCGAGTGAAACGGTCTACGCAGGTTAAGAGATAAGAGTATCCATTTGAATCTGGTAAAGGTCCTACCAAATCCAGATGAACATGGTCGAAACGAGCATCGGGAGTTTTAAACGAGCCTAAGGGACATTTATTGTGTCTGATAACCTTAGATTTTTGGCAGCTTACACAGGAGCGTGCCCACTCCCTCACGTCTTTATTCATGCCAGGCCAGCAAAATCGTTCTGCTATAAGCTTGATGGTTGCACGAACACCTGGATGAGAAAGTTTGTGCAATGTGTTGAAGACATTGCGTCGATAATGTTTCGGCACGATTGGGCGATCCCTACCTGTAGATGTGTCACAAAGTAAGGTTTCCTTACCTGTTCCCATCTGTTTGATGCGTAGTTTAAGTGTTGTGGACGATAACTCGTGCTGAAGATCACTGTCTTCTTTTTGAAGCTCGGCGAGTTTAAGAAGGTCGATTCCTTGGAAACTGTTCAAGGAAGTTATGCGAGATAAAGCGTCTGCAACTACATTGTTTGCTCCAGAGATGTGTTGAATATCTGAAGTAAACTGCGAAATGTAGTCCAGTTGTCGAGACTCACGGGGAGAGTACTTGTCAGAAGGAGAGCTTAACGAGAAAGTGAGCGGTTTATGGTCCGTGAAAAGAGTGAATTCACGGCCTTCGATATAGTGTTGGAAATGCCGTACAGCACAATACATAGCTAGGAGTTCCCTACCGAATGTGCTGTACCTCGATTCGGTGTCTAGCAACCTTCTAGAGAAAAATGCCAAGGGTTGCCAGGAGTTGTTAACCCATTGTTGTAAGACTCCTCCGATTGCTGAGTCGGATGCGTCTACTGCGATGCTAATGGGTGCTCGGGTGTCCTGATGTGCGAGCATTGTTGCTTTAGCAATCAGTTCCTTGACTGTGGAGAATGCTTTTCGTGCGGTGTCGTCCAAATTAATGGATTTCGCATTTCCACGAAGTTGGTCGGTCAGAGGTTTCATAAGTGATGCGCATTTGGGTATGAAACGTCTATAGAAACTTACCAGGCCGTTGAACGTGCGTAATTGCTTGACGGTGGTCGGTTCTGGGTAATCCAGAATGGCCGCCACTTTGGTTCTAAGGGGTCGGATACCTTGAGCATCGATAGTGTGTCCCAGAAAGTCTAACGAGTCGGTTCCAAATTGGCATTTCTGAACGTTTACAGTTATGCCATGTTTTTGTAATCGTTCGAAAACAAGGTCCAGATGCTTGAGATGTGTTTCTCTGTCCGGACTTGCGATTAGACAGTCGTCAACATACGCGTGTACGAAGTTGAGACCTCGAAAAACGTCGTCTATGAATCTTTGGAATGTTTGAGCAGCATTCCTTAGACCGAAAGGCATTCGCAAAAATTCATAGAGTCCGAAGGGAGTTATGATAGCCGTTTTCGGTATGTCGTCAGTAGCCATAGGGATTTGGTTATACGCTTTAACCAAGTCGATTTTCGAAAAGACAGTTGTACCTTTCAAGGTAGCTGTCAAATCGTGAATGTGAGGCAACGGGTAACGATCGGGAATGGTTTTCGCGTTCAATCGCCGATAGTCACCAGTTGGACGCCAATCGTTGCTGTCCTTTTTAGGGACCATGTGCAACGGAGATGCATATGGGCTACTTGACGGTCGTATGATTCCTAAGTCCATCATGTGATCGAATTCGTTTTTCGCTAACCTTAGCTTTTCAGGAGCTAGTCGTCGTGCTTTAGAAAATACAGGTGGTCCTGTAGTCGTGATGTGATGTGTAACATTGCTGGTTACACACGGTAGTTTCGGTTGAGTTTGTTGTATCCCAGGGTACTTATCGAGTAGTGGTTGATAGAGTGGGTCTATCATATGTTTAACTGTGACTGGGGATACTCTACAACCAGTAAAAGAAGTTACGCAAACGGACAAATTAGTGTTTCCGTCTACTAGCCTCCGTTTGCGAGTGTCGATGATCAGATTGTGGTGTTGTAGAAGGTCCATACCAATGATTGGCATAGAAACATCTGCAACGACGAAAATCCAGTGGATGGGTTTGCGTAAACCCACGTTAAGGTAAACGTACCTTTTGCCATACGTAGCGATCGGTTTTCCGTTTGCCGCCTGTAAGTTTAGGGTCGATTCGTGAAGTCGGTCGTTAGGATTTGCTGGGAGAACGCTAACTTCTGCGCCAGTGTCGACGAGGTAGCGAACTCTCGTTGTCACATCTGTGACGAATAACAGACGGCTTTGTTCGCCGGCTACGGTTGCCGTTAACGCGTGCCGGCTTGGAAGTTTCCCGAATCAGTCGGTTTCGTGTTGGGAAAATTGCAGGGTTTTCTGCAATTTCTGGAAAACTTTCCATACTGGTTATGATACCAGCACCAGTCGGGGTTATCTGTCTCTCGTGGTCTAGAGACAGATCGCTTACGAGAAATGCTTCTACGTGGTGTGCGCGATCTCTTACGGTCGGTACGAAGACTAAGATAACGCGTGAGTGTGTGACATAAGTCGGTTATGTCATTCTGAGTCGTGTGAGGCTTTTCTTTGACTGAAAATACCTCGGTAGTAGAAGGTTTCGTAATTTCTAGAATGCGGTCGGCAGATACAGCTAGTTCGTCTAAGGCGTTGTTCTGGAACGAGACCAGAACTGCTTGCACCTGTTGGGGAAGTTTTGACAAGAAGAGTTGTTTGAATAGACCTTCGTCGAAAGTTCTTGGGCCTATAACCTCTCTCATCCGTTGCAACATGTCCGTCGCAGAACCGTGTTGCAGGTCGATATTGTTGAAGAGTTGATCTAACCTTTGTCGATCGGTTAGGTCTCCTCGTTTAAGAATCGAGCGTTTTAAGATTTCGTAAGGATCGGAAACATCACTAGTAAACATACTAGGTGTTACGTACCTGTTGAATTCCCGCGGCAGTGCCTTGACTACTGCGAGGAATTGTGCACGTGTGTCGATCACGCCGTGCTCGGAAAAGTCGGCTTCTGCGTAGCAAAACCAGGCTTCGATGTTGTCGGGCCAGAAAGGCATCAGTTGAAACGAAGGTGGGGACAAGGTCTTAAGCTTGAGTACTTTAGGTGTCTGTTCAGTCATGATGAAATATGAAGTACGATAATGAACGAGGGGAAAAATATATATATATATCCAAGAAAAACACGAAAAAAAATCACAATGTTTAAAAAAAATAAAAAATAAGGCAATGATATATAAAAATCCCAAAAAGGAACAGACTCACAGTTGCAATAAGGTGTACCAGATCACGACGGTCTCACCAATGATGATGTCACAGGTATTCAGTGTTTGACAACGCTTCTACCAGTAACACCTTCTAAGATATTTCGTTCCCACCAAGAGAAATCAAAAGACAGAGTCGAGGAGATCGGAAGAGTATATTTGGCGATGACCAATATACCGGGATTCTCTGATCTAATCTGGCTAGCGATTGTGGTTGATGTTGAGCACGGCGTTACTACACGTGATCTGGTGCGGATGCCTGACCGAGCGCCTTCAGCTAGATGAGTCCACTAAAACATATGGTCAGCATCCAATGTCGAAAACTTACAGAGCTATTTATTTTAGGGATTTATTTACCGCTACAAAGGATATAAATTCTGAGGGGAGTATCTGGAGGAGAATCACTTAATCAGTTTGGAGGCCAAAACCCAGGACCTACGAGGAGAGCCCTAAGCCACTGGGTTCTCATATTTTATCGTGTAAGAGACATAGTCAAGAATTCCGAGTGACTTAAAAGTCCTAAACGTTCGTGATCGTCATATCGGACATCTAATAAATTTACGCCCAGACACTAACCTCATAGGTGGAACATGGTAAACTGGATCGTAGACATGCATTCTACTCCTTAAAAGTAGTCGAGTGTTTTGATCCACTATCCACAAAATTGGTCTGAAAGATTTCTCGGGCTCTGCTAAAAACCAAGACATATATATTTTTAAACACTCAGAGCAGGATCTTATAGACCTCTCATTTCTGTTTGGTCGCAGATTAGGTGGACTGGTTTCGATGTATAGGATACTAAGAAGTCATGTTGAACCTATTATATAGCCTCGTTATCTTGCTACAAGCTTACTACAACTCAGAGGAAATACGAGGGGAGTACAAAAGCTAAGAACAAATTAGGTACTTGGGGTACACAGGTTTTCCCACCAAGCAATCAATTCTTACAACCTGTTACACGAAGAAATGCTCTCTTTCTCTTAGATCGAATTATTTAGGAGAAGACGAGGAATTATCAGAAGCTTAATCGGAAAGGGATAACATAGGCCGTAGGCCAGCCTTCTGTCCTCAGTACACAAATATGTTTTATACCACGTATTTACCACCTGTAGTCATCAATGTTTCATCACTTCTAGTAATGGAAGCCCCTCAACCGTAAGTTTGCTCTGTTCTGTTCAGAACTATTTTAACATATGGCATATCTGTGCGATTTAATTGGAGATTGAGCAGTAGGCGGCTGCGGAATGACCTTCTTAAGTGCATGCTTCTTAACAAGTCTAAGTGTTTGTGTACTGTATTTGTTTGTGTTGTTGGAAAGTAAGTTATTAGATCATATTTAAATCACGAGTAGAAATCTTCATCATTCTGAATATGATCTTATTGAAATTTGTGCTTCTGGCCCGGAAATTTTATTATTATTATGGACAGTATATTCTGTCTAACCCAATTTCCAAAACTTTTGGACAAAACAACGAATTTTGTTACGTTGTCCTACAAGCATGTTGCTGATTGACCGTTTTCAAATAGACTGTTAGACCGGAGCTATGTTAATCCGTTTATTGAATGCTACTTAATCTAAATACTATGCATCTAAAATGCCATGGAATTCCTAAATGTACTTCGATACAAATGTTTCCCAGATATATGTCAAAGATTTTCGTGTAGTTTTCTTCGTTCATTTTCACACCAGTATATAGGAATTCATTATTCTGCGGCAAACATGAACAGCGAGTGATGTTTTATGGTAATCTACAACATGCAGTCTTTTGTTGGTGCCATCGGGTGGTCATCTTTGGAGAGGTTACTTTCCAGATATGCAGTTTAGTACAAGAGTTGAATTAAGACATCTGATTGGGTTTGCGTTAGGTATAGCTTGACCGAAGTAACTACTATGAATTTGGTGTTCATTTTGTTGTGTTAATGAGGTGTGGTCACTTGGACCGACGCATATATGTGCCTGGTCCCACTTTGTAGCTGACTGACTGACTGAAGGCGTGGGTTAGGCTCGTATTGAGTGAATGTAAAAAGTTCACATATCCTCTTGGGATTTGGATGATCATGTCATAAACGGGTTCATGTACAGTGCACCCAGCATCAGGCTTTACCGGAGTACGAATTATTAGTAAAAGTAGGAGTACGTCCACTCAGTGTGCTGTATCCTCAGGGAAAAAGTGACGTTATGGTTAATGAATTCGCTATAACATCATATGTTTGGGGAGTGTATGAGATCGTTCAAAAGCGTTTTTGTCTGTAAACGTCATCAAGGTGTAGAAGAATCCAGTCTCAATATGGCATCTATGGTGTTTTTTAATAGTTAGTTGGCAACCAAAGTTTGCAGTCTGTCGTTCGGCTAAAGCGCGTGCGATAGTTTCACCAGTGATTTCTGTGATGAGCACAACTCCAGACCATTGCGTGAAGCAATCGATATATCCTAAGAATCACAGTGATCCAATTTATTGCCTCTAAATATTCGCTATAATGGCTTGTTTTCGGAGTCTTCCAAAATGTGGATCCACATTTTGGAAAGTTGTTTCTTCATCTGGAACTGCAATCCAGTAGTCGCCAAATTATCCAATCTACAAATTCAAGCTCCCAGAGTACATCTTTGCTAAAGCGTTAAAGCATTTGCGCGGTATTTTACAGTCGTTAGCGCACACGTAAAACTTCAATTAGCCCTAAAGTACTAATTGCGGCTATTTTGCGAACGTCTTTTTAGGTCATAGGGATCTGGTTATAGGTTCTAAGTCAAATTTTGAAAACAGTTATAAATTTTATGTTAGCCATCAAATCGTGGTTATGGGTCAGAGATAACAGTTTGAAATAGTTTTTCATTAAACCTGAGTGGGTGTTGCTTTGATTCGATCGTATGCAACGTTGAAGACCTATTTCAGTAATAATTTTACTTAAAGATCATCGCTCACTCGTTGACCCGATCGAATAGTCATTATTATATAAAAGCACCAAGCTGTAAGCTTGCAGCAAAACATTTTCCAGTTGGTTGAAGTTTTTTTCATCGGTATAAAAAGCAAGAAAGTACATTAAAATTTATTTACATGTATCTGCCAAAAACTTTTTTTGTTAAAAACATGTTTGCCTTTAGTGGGTTGCAGAACGTATTGTCATTTTTTTTCGATTCCTTCTAACGATAGAACGCTGTATGTAGAATCCTGAATTTAGCAGTAAAAAGAGTGGTATGTCATTATTGTGAAGAGTATAAATAAGTAGTATTACTTTAGGTAATTTCAGTCCAATTAGGTAGTTCATACAAGCATTATCAACCAAAAAAATAGAATAAAATCAGTAAACTAAGTGAAATCTTTGTGGTAAGTATCTTTCCATATATATCCTTGATTATTTCCTAACGTACTGATTTACAGATTTTTGAACTATGTTGTTCTACATAAACCTCCAAAATAATGAAGTGTATGGTATAAGTAGGGTAGAATTTGTTGATCAAACGGACACGACGTGACTCATAATTTATGTTTGTAATAAGTTAAAAGCGTGAAGTATTAATATGATTGGAAATTTTGCTAGCATGCTCAATCATAACTGTTTGCACATTGGATATACCCATAGTTTCGCCATTGGATTGCAATATACTTGTTTGCATTGTAATTTTTCTGATCAGTGTTAAGAGGAAGAAAGTGATCGATTTGCCGTATATAAAGTGATATTAAATTTGTTGCACTAGTAGTTTATGAAAAATTACTCAAAAATTTACCTGTAAAATGCTTCACATATTAGGTGAATTTTGAATAAAAGGTCTACATTTTTAATATTGAATTACCTCACTTGGACATTGTAGTAGTTTTATGCCATGTATCATTTCGTTGTTCTACTTGACTACATAGGTCAGATGTATGAGGTTTTTGCAAGACCATTCCCCCAAATGTCCTGGTATGGCCGAGGGTGGGGTGGGTTCACCCCCTCTCGAAATGCTCTCACACGGCCACGCGTATACAGCCTCTGCCAGGGAAGTCCTACTCACTGCCTTCTCGTGGCGGGGGTGTTGTCCACGAAAACGAGAGGAAGAAAAGCGAATGTTCGGCGCTTTGACCGGATCACAAACCAATGGTGCACATGGGCTCCAGTATCCTGCGGGAATAAATGGCGTATGAACCAATTGTTGGTCACCGGCTTCCATGGGACTGCATCTCCTTTCGATGCTCTACTGCCTTGTGGGTTAGACCTTTAGGTCAAAGGCTCGGGGTGTGGCCCCACGTCGTGCATTATTTGCCGACTCTGGGACTGGTTGGAAGAAGCGGAGAGGTGGTCAGTGCATGACATGGTGTCGTGGCATGAAAGAAAGCTGCAAAGGACTAGCTTGTGTTGGTCCTTCACGACTCCCTGGTTGGGGTCTGAGAGATGGTGCTACACAGTGGCTAGAGACGTTATCAGATATGGCTCAGAATAGAAGCCAGTGGCGATCCAGCTGTAACCTTCTTTTACTTTCTTCATAAAATGTGGTTCTGTCTCCCTTACCTGAAAGATTTCTTCCGATTGTACCTTTGCGTTCCCTGATTACTAGCACATTACCTTACACCAATCTCTTCGTTATTGTTCTCTTTTTTGTTGCGCTCCTTAGCTTTTTTTTCTTTCTTTGTATTCCTCTCGAATTTTCATTGTTTTGTGTGGCGCATATATATTGGCGCTCTCTTGTACCAATATTCATGTGTCCCTTAAGAAAACCACCTGCTTCGGCTTGGGCACCCGGGGCAGTATCACAGCCCACACACACACAAATATGGTGTGGCGCATCTATATTTGGTGCCCTCTTGTACCGATATTTATGTGTCGAAATAAATAAAAAAAAATTAATTTTCGTAAGAGGGTTATATTTTTGTTAACCGAATACTAAGTTTGCGATTTATAAACACTTTACTCAACCAACTTTTCAGTTCACACAAAAGGTGCTTTTTATAGAATTCATCCACCTCTATTATACGTTTATTCCAATGGTAAACTTTAACTGTTACTCCGTTTTTTAGAGATTCCACGTTTTGCATAGCTGTTATCTGTAAGACGACATTTTAATCTATAAGTCCTATAAAGCAAGAATGATTCTTCCCTCCTCTGTGCCTAAGCGTAAAAAGGCAGAAAAGGAACTTTTTAAAGATACTCATACCATAGAGTCAAATGAAATCATTTGTAAGGTACAAACTACTTTATAAATAAATAATCTGATCTCCAGTTAGTCAAATCATGCGGCAACTATTTGTTCACTGCAATAACAGAACAGGGAGAGGAAGTTTTCGTATCGATTCCAGAAAGATTTCGCAATACATTCTACTTTGCTCAAGGTGGTTTTGTTATCTGTTCACCGCTGGATAGCAAAAAGGTGAAGGGAGAAATTCGAACTGTTTACAGAAGGATAATATTAAGGCTCTGATTAATGAAGGCCGTTGGTAAGTGTATAATATTTTAATAGTCGTACCATAATTTTATATAGTCTTATTCATAAATTATTTACATTACTTATTATCATTATTATCATAATGTGATGGAATGCCAGAATGTAAAAACTAATAGTGTTCGGTTTTCAGATGATTCCTGTAATTTGCACTCCTGTTTTCTGAACTGAAATTACCAAATGTTGACGTTTTATCCCGCACTGACTACTAGCCATAGTAATAGAATCATCATTTGACAACGCGTAAGTTTAGCTGAAAACATGTATGTCACATTGTTTAAGATCCTTTTTCTCAGATCAGAAGCCATATTTATGTACAATTCGACGTTGCACTTGCATAGGGATTCATTTTCTACACATAAATACTAACCAGTCTTAACTATTATATCAAATAGGTTGTTTCCTTTTCGTACTTCGTATGTTTTTTCTGTTTCACTTCGAAACCAACTTCAGTAATTAAGGTATGAAAAACTCTGTTCATAGTATGACAATTATTTGTAACTTCAGGTCGTTTGAAACTGGTAAGAAGCTTTGAAATATAGTGCATTCATGTTATCTTGGAAATCTTTTCTCACTTTGTTAAAATGTATCAAGGATTCAAAATGTAAGAAAGAACTAGCAGTTAGATCTATCTATTCTATATTTCTGTCAACTAATATTCGTTAGGACTAGACATTTAATATTTAGAAAAATCATCACTTAGCCTGAGTGTTGTATGAAAAATGTTACTAGCGTTTCGTAAAACGAATACACTAGTTGTTTTATCTTTTCAAGGTGTAGAATATACTTAAAGATACAGTAGTATTTCGAAATTACTCTGTGGTGTTTTGCTAGGTAGGCGTAAGTTTATTTATTGTCGCTCTTAATAATAATTGGTATTCCTGAGTAATAAATAAGTCAACGATAACCTACACTTCATAATCACTGTTCTGGATCGGACAGACTGTAATCAAGTTTGTATGCACCGTTTGGCTTAACATTTTCACAATTTATGCGTAAATTTGTAGCTACTGATAATTTATAAATAGTACAAATCGTAGTACGAAACATTTGGAGATTGAGTTTTCAGTAACTCAATACACATTGACAATCTTTGAAGTAGTACGACCTCTAGAAAGCAACAATTTAGGCTGCATGGTTGATCAGTCGTCACCAGCCTCTTGCTCTAATGCTGCCTTAAGAAATGACATTAATTAGTTAATGTCCTTTATGGTGGATTTCAATCAAAATATTTATAAGTTTTTTATAGTCATCTAATAAATTGGTATAAAAATACTATAATCTATACCAACATCTATCGTCAAGCGCTTGGGAGAGCCTTTGTTATCTTATTGAAGAGGTTATCTTTCGTTTTCTTGACCCTAATGGCCGCTTCTGGCTTCGCGTAATTGTTGACTATGTCCAATACACTCCTCGATGATCATTAATAAAATATACGGGAAACTGGACTCTGAGAGTGTTAAATATAATTATTACAAATCATATACTTAATCACATATATATCCAGCCTTTTAATACTTCTTTACTTATGTTTTGATGTGAACTGAAATTCTGGTGTAGCTCTGAATAAAGAATATCAGAAGCTACAGCATTATTAATTAATATGAAACGTAGCTCTATTAAGCACCTTTTATTCAGTGAATCAATCTTTTTGAGTGGGTTCTAGCAATAATACCTAGGTCCCTTAACATAAACAGTTAGAATTGATTTCAACCTTCACCCCAGTAACTGAAAACAATTTTTAGTTACACATTCATTTTGTGCTGACAACATGTACGACTTAGCTTACTAGTCCCTGCATTACTTTTATGCTATAGTTACACTCTTTAATTCTAATTCTATTTATATGTCAACATCTAGTGGTAGTGATCGCACCATCAACTATCGTTTTGAGTTGTAAGTATTTAATCATAGTTTTAATTGCTGACTGTTCCGTTGGAAAAAATACAACCGGTGGTTTTATTCACGAATTGATCACAGCTTTTTAAATGCTGAGCGATTCGTTTGTGTTTAGATTTCTTGGTATACTATTTTAATTACCAAACAATTTTAACCGCTTTTTTGGCTGAGTGATATTTATTATTTTTCCTATCACTTCTTTATAGGCCGGAAACTTTTACTGTAAACATATCAAAGGAATCCTCAATAAAGAATGACAATTATATCCCAGAAGATATGCTTCCATCATTCTCTGATAGTTCTGACACAGAAAGTGAATGTATATCTGATAACAATTAAAAACTGTATATATATATTTGTGTGGTTGATTTCACCACTTATCAACAGTAAAATCTCGGAGTTTTTTTTAGAGAAGCAGTTTCCTGAATTCGTCATTGTTGTTCTCTTTATCAATCTCGTTTCCCCAGTATATTTACCATTTATTTTCGTTGTCTATTAATGTTGGCAACGAGTTGATGTTTTAGAAATTATAGGTTATTTGAATAAATTGAATCCCAACAGAATTTTTAGGCTTAACTCTAACTAACATCACTATTATTAAGAAGTGGTCGCATAACCATTGTCAACAAAGTTATTTGATGTTAATCTTTTACAACTTAATACCAAATTCTGTTCATTTGAATCACTCTTTAAAGTTTTGTTACCGTTTGTGTTTCCGTTATGCGTTATCAAGTCAGAATTTTTTTAAAGAAAGGTTCTGTACGCCGAGTAGGGGTTGGATTGAAGAGATGACCTATTGTAATCGTTGAGATATATGGACATATTGCCAATATCTCTAAGGTTACAGTAGGATCCATGTCTGGAGGTTCTGAAGTTACCACAGTGGAGTGTATTATAGCTATATTGAATTATTATGTGTTAAATGCAAAAAATTTAGTTGATTGTGTAAAATACTGTTCATCAGTTGACATCAGTGAGTAGTTTCTAGACGTTATTTACAGATTTGTTGATATTCAAACATGTATATATATATCCCCTTTTATGCTTAGGGCTGAAATCAATCAGTTTCTTTTGGTATATGTGCATCCCGTGTGGATTACCTCTATAATGTCATTAAGTCCCCGAACGAACATAGAAGTATTCTGTCATAATAATAAGGTATATTTCTAATACTACGTACAAATAATTTAATAAGGAAAGTATTAACACTCAGAATTTAATAATATTCAATCTCAAAGTGTTAAGAAATCTGTTACATTATCGAAATCCCCACCACGTAGTTAAAGAGTGCCGTACAACTACTTAAATAAAATTAAAACACAGTTATCAAGTAACCGGGAATAACATGTCACTTCTCGTAATTAAAGAAATTTTCAAAGAGTAGCATACGTAAAAAAACAATAAATGTGGTAGAAAAACAAGGCAAACCGTTTTAAATAGAAATGTAAACAGATAGGATAATTGCTTATTGTGATAAATGGAAATCTCCCATGATTAAAATATGAAACTTGGGTATGTGCAAATATAAGCCAAACAATTTGTTACTAATCTGTATGACAATATGCATATACAAGAAAGGAATTATTAACCAATCATACATGCAATCTTTGTTTTATATATTACTACCATTGAATTAACTACTTCTATGAATCCGGTGTTCATCTTGCTGTGCTAATGCAGTATGTCAACTTGGACCGATGCGTATATGTGACTGGTCCTACGTTGTAGCTGACATGAATGAATAATGTTTACAGTTTGATTTATGAATCGACACCCACAAAGAAGGGTGATAGTCTTGATTATTCTATTTGTTTTTTAATAACTATCCACTTGAACATTAAAATGTCCTAAATGTATGTGTCTGGTTATCGATTTTATGACTCCTCGCCATTGCAGTTAATTTTTCTCTTTTAACCAGTAATTTGTTTCAATTACAATGAAAAGGAAACGTGAAAATAATGAAATAATAAATTTGAAAAGAATTTCGTATGTTAAGTAGTTTTATATTGAAAAATATTGTAAGAAATATATATAGATCACGAGTCAGTTGAAGCTAGATCACCATGGAGAACCTAGAAGCACTGGACGGCCGTTTCGTCCTATTGTGTGACTCTCCAACAGTGTGCATCCACGATATTTTTATAAATACCAATCAGTAATGATGAATTTTAATAAAATCACTCATATTAGTTGTAATAAATTAGTTGTTTTCTAATTCAACCTTGATGAGTTTTTTTTCCATTTTACTGAGTCAAAGATTTACGGGACAATTTGGTATCGAATGGTATACTTTCAGATTGAACAAATTTTTAGTCTTAAATAAACCTTTTGTTTTTCTAAAAAGGAATCCTGTGATCTTAATGGATACTACAGTTAAGTTCATGTATGAGGATTGAGGGATATATTGTAAATATTTAAAAAAAAACAGCAAGTCATCCTGTTATTTCATGGAGATCTAGTAAACTAATACTAAAATAAGAAAATTGTTTTACTCACTTTCTCACATAAAGTGATCTTTCTTAATAATGATATGGATACTTATACTGACTAAACAATATCTCATATATTCATCACTCTATAACTTTCTTCTCATATAATTGTGTTAAATGCTAATAGTCTTCAGAGTTTCATATATACTGACAAATTTTCCACCTATTCATCATAATCAAATATCCATATATTAGATGCATTTCATCTGGAAAAAGGACAAAGTATCGATTCATGCATATTGTCTATCATTTGGATTTACAAGTCCATGAAACCGACCTTTTATTATCTTAACACAAGTGATCGATATATTATTTTTATAAACAATTTTAATCACTACAATTAACCTAAGTTACCATTTCCCTAAGTTTTGACAATACAGGATATGTTTTACAAAATATGCATATAGATTGTCAATTTGCCAATGAATACAATTAAGTGATGTATGAAAAATATTTTCTTGCTGAAAAACTCATTAGTACTAGATATCCTATGGTGTATTCAGGGCTCAAGTTTGCCCTACTGAAAAGTTTCAAACTAATACTAAACAGTTATTCAGTTCTTCTTGTATAACTTACGTGAATGTGATAGAAAAAAGCATTTTCAAACTGTTTTTTTCATTTAGTGAACTTATATGGAGTACCAAACCATATTTTCGGGGGTGTTGTTTACGAAAAGCGAATGTCCGGTGCTTTAACCGGATTCTAAACCAATGGTGCACATGGGCTCCAGTATCCTGAGGGAACAAATGGCGTATGAACCAATTGTTGGTCACCGGCTTCCATGGGACTGCATCTCCTTTCGATGCTCTACTGCCTTGTGGATCAAACCATCAGGTCGAACGCTCGGGGTGTGACCCCCTAAGAAAACCACCTGGTTCGGTTCGGGCACCCGAGGCAGTATCACAGCCCTATCACAAATCGAATGGGATTTGTGTGGCGCATATGTATTTGGTGCCTCCTTGTACCAATATCTATGTGTTAAATTAATAATAATAAGTAATGACCAAACCACATATGCCTTAACTCATTTAAATTTATTAGACCACTCAATAGTCGATTGTTTTCTTTACTAAGATTTGTTACAATATTCGTGTGATCCATTTTCATTAGTTGAAATCATGAGTCAATTGAAGCTAGACCACCATGACATATGTCCACATTGATGATCTAAATGTTGTCGTGCGATTGTATGATCTTAAAATTTTTCTCTAAAGTAATTCATTAATAGTCGATGTTTTAACAACCACTGAATTCTAATCCTAATGTTCCACAATGCATTTTTTATTACCAGAATTGAAAACCGTTACAATATCTTTTCTATTGAAGTTTATTAATGACTGAAATTATTTTCGTAGCTTCATGTTTTCAGCCGTTAGTTGAATGAGTAGATCGAAGCTTTTTTTTGAAAATTCATACTATATGTGTAAGTTATCTGTAGAAATTAGGTGTACATTTTGAGTATTCTACAAACAATAGTTCGTCGAATATGTTTCTTCCGCCGGAAGTCAGTGAAACGCTAATATCTAGACACCAACTTTTCTCAGAATAATTTTATGCTGATTGGTTTACTGAAAAAAAATAACACTGCTAAAAATTGATTGATAGATAAAAATATTATGTAATCTTCGTTGTGACATGATGTCCGGCTTTGATCACGTGACTTATCCATCAATCAAAATACGACTCATACAATCTTAGCACTGTGCCAAACCAATGACGTTCAACCGGCATGGACAGTCTAGCGTCCTTATTGGTCCTATGCACGCCTAGCCCGTCCACTTGAGTCCAGAACACCAAATACCAGCTCCCGATATGCGAATCGAATAATTTATCTCAGACATACTGGGTTTATATATCAACCAAACAGACTGCAAAGCACCATAAAATAGGAAATAACATTTGTACACAATAAAGCCAAAAAGTGACTGTGAACGCGGGAGGCAGTAGTTAATAAACTGAACATAGCTTAAGAACAGTAAATCGTACAATAATAAATTATGGGTCAAAATAAGCTGATAATAAGAGGAATATCAATATACATAATCTAATTATCGAATAGTTACACCATAAGAATGTATAGATAATATTAGTCAATTAATATGTCTCAGGAGTTACTCGTGATTTAATCTTCGCTCGGATATAACAATCTTACTTTTCATGTTTCTAAGATGTATTCAGTGAAATAGTTCACTTTAATGTTATCGTCTTATTTTCATCATGTTTGGATGACACGGTAATCAATTATTGACAAATAACATATTAAAAGTTATTTACTATATTCTAATTAACTAACAGGAAGAATAATTTGCACCTAACTTGGGCCCTGTATTTTGAATTTATAGTCACTTATGAACAAAGTAGTGTAATTCCAGCAAACTTCATACATTTTCATAATTTCAGATTCATACTACTGATTACTTCATTCCAAAACCTCCACTTACATTCGAGTTTACATCTAACATCTCAAATAGTCTAATAAGTCTTTAGTTATTTTTATGTGTTAATAATACCATTTAGAAAGACAATGAAAATTTCATAAGTAAACTAGCCAGTTCAGAGAACATAATGCATTGAAAATCTTTCTGAGCTACAAATTTGTACTATTTTCATCTCACTGCTTAGGAGTCCCACAATAGGACGTAACGGTGCTTCCACGTTTTCCATGGTGGTCTAGCTTCAACTGACTCATGATCTCAACCATTGAAACTATTATAATTATTTCATGAACACTAACTATCCG